TTTAATGCAGGGTATGACTCAAACCACAGAATTCAAATGAACTTGTAAGTCCTTAACTACATCCTTCCTTACAAACAAGAGGTTAATTCAAACTGGAAATAATTTTCATTGATTAATATTTTACTATGCTCTACCCATTTTTGCAGTTAGATCAAGAAAAACATTTTGATCGAAATCCAAAACAATTACACCACATTATAGATTTTAATTATTTTATTTTTTTCTTTAGTTGGATATGATCTTCTACTCTTATTTATTACTCATCATCTTCTCACCGGATTAGTTGGAACAAAAAGGAAGGACAGATAATGGCATGTCAAAAATCTGCCACAGCTACAAAAAAAGGCTAATCAAGCGGCATTTGCTCTTACAAAACACACATATAAATCACCTGCTACTAGATGTGTAGCAATCACAGTGCTACAACGTAACGTCTTATAATAAATACTCAGTACAATTTAGCTATGAAGGAAAACTTATTCTATTAATATTCCCCTCCTCCATTTGTTGTTAACCTTTTTGTTCTATATTCTGTTGGCTCCACCTACAGCTGGAGCCTCCTCTTGTAATAATTTTAATGTAACTTCTGTATTGGTCAAAATTCGGCAACTCGGTAACTGAAGATAAGTCGTGTCAAGAACGGAGTCGACCACGACATTATAACGAAGAGGTCGCTTCGTAAGGGTCATTGCCGAGGACAAGTAACCGGAGTTGCAATTGTAACGGTAAGACTGGCTTAGAAAAGGACACCAGGAATATTTATATTGTACTTTTTAGGGTTTCTTGAGAATATCCTTATAAGTAGTAAGAGATAGAGAACAAAAAGGGGGACTTCACTTTTTGATAAAAACACATTGTAAAGGTTGACTAAAAGGAATATACAAAAGTTGTCTCGTTCACTAATAGCATTACTCAAGTACACATTGTTCAAAAGATCCAAAGGTTCCATATCACCTTCACTCCTCATCCTTCCACGTCACTGAGAAGGAAGGAACATCCCAATCATACAATAATTGGGTGGTAAATCCTTTCTTATTACATTTATTGCCCTTATCAATATTTATTACATGTTCATGTTATTATATTCGTGGCCAATTATTGATTATTAAATCCGTTATTTAATACTCTTTAACACTGTTCATCTCGCGAATTTCTTGTTTATTTGGTCTAGAATTTACTAAGTTCAACTAAGATTCACCCTTTAATTGATCATTAATTGGTTTAACTGAAAAGTTCAACACTTTTTTTAGTCAAACAATTTGGCGCCGTCTGTGGGGAGGTATTAGTTGAAATTTTAGTTCATTCTAGATCACAAAAAAGGACAGCCATCTCTTCTTCGTTTGCACAAACTAACGATGGCAGAAAAAGGAGAAGCAAGACAGAAAGCAATAGCAGGTGTCACTAACAATATTTTGAACACCATCAACGAGGATGACCGGGAAGACAACGAGAATGTGACGCCAAGCGCTACGCCCAGGCGGAGTGATTCACCTCCCCCTCATAAAAGTGTAACCGCTTCACGCGAGAGAGGAGCATCAACGTACACAACTGAGGAAGCACCGCCAGCAATGAAAAAATTATTGGAAGAGTGGCTGACAAGTACTCTGAACAACATACTCGACAAACCCGTTCAAAGGGAGAATAGAAACACTGCACAAGCAGATACCACTGGCGAACAACCCATCCTCCGAACATGTAACACTTACACCACTGTTGATGCAGGTAATAAAGCACTTGTAGCCATTCTAAAGAAAATGGAAGAAATGGAAAATGAGAACAAAACACTCCGCGATCAAATGAGAGAACATCAAGAAAGGGTAGATAAGATACCGAACGCCCTAAAACTGCTATCAAAGCGGGATGTCGGCCGATTCGTCGAACAACCGGATAGCAAGGAGGCAGCCCCACACGCCATACCCAAGACCTTTAAAATTCCACCATATTTGAAGATATATGATGGCAGCACAGACCCAGAAGATCACATTATTCACTATGTCACAGCGGTAAAGGGAAACGACCTATCAAAGGAGCAAGTACCGTCAGTTCTACTAAAAAAGTTTGGCGAAACCTTAACTGGAGGAACCTTAACGTGGTACTCACAACTACCAGCACGGTCTATAACAACATTCAAGGAAATGGCCGACAAGTTCGTCACCGCCTACGCCGGAGCTAAGAAAGCGAAGGCCAGGGTGAACGACATATTCGTCGTGAAGCAATCGCCTGGCGAGGGACTCAGGGACTTCCTCGCTCTGTTTAATAGGGTAATAATGAGCTTGCCAAACGTATCGGAAGGGATGGAGGTAGCAGCCTTCCAAAACGGGTTGAACAGGAATGGGTTGAGGGCGACCAGAAAGTTGTTAAGCAAGCTTATAAATACCCTCCCACAACTTGGGAAGAAATTCACAACGCCTACTATGCCAAGGTAAGAGCAGATGATGAGGACCTCAATGGTCCAACCCAACGTTTGACGTCGATCCAAACAGAGCCGAGGAAAGATCGTCGTAACGACAGTCGAAGAGACTAGTCATGCCCACGCCTCAATCGGGACAAGCATCAACCCTATTTCAGAATAGCCATTCCACCATCCTCTCGACATATGTAAGGGTCGTTCAGGCCGCACACAGGGACTCAATGAAACGAGAGAGGTATGCTCCCACTCTTATCTGCTCACAACTTTTGTGTTTCTCCTTCAAAAATAGTGTACGCACTAGAGAAGCTTGGCACGAAGGTGAAGTGGCTGCAAAAAATAAAGTCTAACCCAAGTACCCGAAAGTCGAACGTCCTTTGTGAATTTCACCAAGCGCGGGGTCACAAAACCGAGGACTGCATACCTTTACAGCAGGAAGTAGTAAACATGTTGAACCAAGGGCACCTTAAGGAGCTGATGAGTGACCGAGGACGAGCCAACTTCGGTCGTGAACGAGAACCGCATCAAGGTCTTCCAAAGCCACCCTCTCCTGCCCACATCATTCAAATGATCATCGGTGGAGGCAATGAAACATCAATCAACCACATAAAGTTTACCACCACACACAAGCTGAAGCGGTCAATCACCCACGATCGGTATGATGACCTCAAAGAAAGTATCATCTTCGATAAGTCAGATACCAACAGTTTGATTTTTCCTCACTCCGATGCTCTTGTCATTACTTTACGTATTTCAGATACTGATGTTAAAAAAATAATGGTAGACGATGGAAGTGGCGCGTGTATTATCTACCCTCGAGTGCTTGTACAAATGCGACTTGAGAACAAGATAGTACAGCGCTGCATAACACTAATATGTTTTAACAATGCAATCGAACGAACCTTATGAGAGATAATGCTGCCCGTTCTAGCCAGGACCGTCACCCTAGAAATGACGTTCCACGTCATGAACCAGGATACAACCTACAACGCAATCATAGGACGACCATGGATACACGCCATGAGGCTATCCCGTCCAGTTTGTATCAAGTGATCAAATTCCCTATCCATGGGGCATATTTAGCACAATGCACAACCCAAGAATGCTACCACATCGCCCAAGACTGTAAATTTACTCAACAACTAAGGGGAACAAACTCGAAAGCATAGCATTTATGAAAGTCGGGGTCCAAACTCAATGATCAAAAGGACGTCATCAAAGACCCCGACGTTGTGGAAGCCACATGATCAATAATAGAGGATCTCGATCCCGTCCAACTAGATAACAACGACAACAACAAAAAGGATTATATAGGCCATAAGCTCTCTGATCCAGGTAAATTTCATGAGTTTTTAATCAGTAATGCCGATCTATTTGCCTTTTCCCGAGCAGATATGCCAGGTATTCCGAAAGACGTTGCCACACATAAGTTGAACGTCGACCCCTTCTATCCCCACGTACGACAAGGGAGAAGAAATTTCAATGCCACAATCAACGAGGCTGTCAGCGAGGAAGTAGACAAACTACTTGCTAACGGTTCTATCCGAGAATCAAAATATCCCCAGTGGGTCGCCAATGTGGTCATGGTAAAAAAGAAAAATGGAAAATGGCGGATGTGCGTAGATTTCACGGACCTAAACAAGGCCTGCCCGAAAGACTCCTTTCCGTTGCCTCACATCGATTAGCTCATCGACGCAACAACGGGGCACGAATTTTTAAGCTTCTTGGACGCCTACTTAAGTTACAACCAGATCCTCATGGAGAAGGATGACCAGGAAAAGACTACTTTCATCACCCATCAGAGAACGTAGTTTTACAGGGTCATACCCTTCGGGTTGAAGAACGCAGGGGCAACGTATCAAAGACTGGTCACCAAGATGTTCAATGACCAACTCGGCAAAACAATGGAAGTTTACATCGATGACATTTGTAGACATGTAATTTTTTATCCTCCCCGAGTTTTTACTCATTTTAGCTTTTAGATATTTAGTTTAGGCTTAATATCGCTATTTTACCTAGTTTTAACTATTTTACTTTATTGTATCACAAAAATGAAAAATTACAATTTTTTTTTATTTAGCTAATTGATATTTTATCTAGTTAATTTTAGTTTATCTACCTTTCATAAAATTAAAAAATACAAAAATATTATTGATATTTTATTTTTCCAAAAAGATAAGAAGAGAAATTTCAAAAAATATATATCTATAGTTACTTAGTTTAGTTTAAAAATTGTAGGCCTTTAATAAGTATTGAGTAGTTTTTAATTTTTTTTATTATTTATTTATTCGGCTATCATGTTTTCATTTTTAGTAATTTCCTACCAATTAAATAATTAGTTTTTTTTTTGTTTTGTCTTTAAAAACAAAAAGAAGAAATGAAAAAAACAAACAAACAAGAAAGGATGAAATAAAACAAGAAAACAAAGAAAAAAAAAAGTAACGAAGCAAAAGCAGAACGGAAGTGCAAAAACAAATGCAAGAAAAGGAAAATCCAAAATGGTTTGTTTCATTCCTATATATGCACGTGTCCCATTATTTTTACTCCAAGTAATTTACTTTGTCCATTTTATATTCTCTTAACAAATTCAATAGCTAAGGAATAGAGACAAAGGGGCACAAGGTCATTTTTATGAACAGTGCACACACTGACAGTTGGGATTTTCGGCATATTATACGGGCCCACACAGTTTTGGGGTCTTCTTTTTCTCCAAGAAATAGTTCCATTGGAGAGGCCGACACAGAGAAAAAAAAACCCTAGGACACAAGACTAAAGACCCATGGCTGCCATCTTCAACCTAGAGACAACAACGAAACCCTAGTCCCCACAACCACTAGCAGCGCCGTCCACCACGTCCAAGCTATAGCAGACCTTCAGCTTCATCTTCCTCACACATTACACAAAAAGCACAAACCCTAGATGAACCTTTCTTTTTCAAGAAGACAAGAGCTGAACTCAAATCGTCACTCCTCACAGACCCATGGCTGCCTTCCTCGTCTTCCTTAGCTGAACGACCAAACGACCCCTGACCTCTCTAACACCACCAACATCTCCGTTGTCCCTCACCCTCCAGCCCACGACCATAACTCCAGCTCCACACCCATCGTCTCCACCACGAACAGCAGCTGAACCCAAATCTCGCCGGACCTTCTGCTACTCAGGACCAAACGGAATGACCCCAGCTCCCTTCAAAAACGAGCAACCATTTCATCTTCTACTACAAACAAGGAGGCAGCCATGGAGATAGCAGCTGAACCCTTCAGCCGTTTTTGAACAAAACCAAAATTCCTAAGCCAATCTTCTACTTCACCTCGCACTCGCCGGAAAAACCAGCGGCCGCGGCTGCTTACTGACCTCACTCCAAATGCCCAACAACAGAAACCATCGAGCCAGATCCCCCTCATCTCCTTTACCCTACATCGCTAAACACACTGAAGGTCGACTGTATCTAAAAGAAAAATACAGAAACATAGATAGGAGAGATCAGCTAAGGATCTCGTTCGAAAATGGAGTAATGCTGAGGTAGGAGTTCGAAATTTGGGAGTCGTCGTTCGTGTTCCAGTCGCGGTTCGGTTTGAATTTGATTGCTGTCTGGTCGAGTTTTCTGTTCATTTGTCATGATCTAAACGTCTTCCATTTTTTCCGTTCAAGTTCGAGTCGCCGGAATTTGACATTGCTGTGAACAAATTGGAGGTTCATCTTAATATTGGAAAAGTTCTTGTTTATTGAAGGTTCACTCTTATCCTTCTTCTATCTATATAATATCCTTTAGTTTCATGTATGTGATTTCTTGGTGATGCAACTTTGTTGATTAATTTTGTGAGTGTTCTGTTTGATTTCTTGGTGATACATTGCTGTTTGTTAAAGGTTCTGTTTGCTACTTTTTATTTAAGGCAAATAAGTCACAATTTGATAAATGAAAAAAGTTGAATTTGGTCAAGGGGTTAGTTCAATACAAACATGGACTTTGTAAAGGATTACTAGACGGACTGGGAAGGGAATTATAAAAATTTGAGTTCGGATCGATTTTCTTAGTTCTTTATCTTGCTTTGTTGCTTTTAACCGTTAGGTGTATGTTTAGGCCGTCATCACTGGGTAGGCAAACTTTAGGATTTTTGTTATATTTGGGGTGAGAGGTTGTCCCTTAGATAAATTCATCGGGGGAATGCTCCGTAGACTTTGTAAATATTTTAACTCGGGGAATGCCCCGAAGCACTTTGTAAATATTTTGGAGGGCGTAACGCATTCGTGAAGGAAGCATAGTATAGTATTTTTTTCTTATTTCTATTATTATTTTTCTTTTATTAGGTGGGGACGACCTCGAGCCCTTTTGTGTGTTTATTTTTTCTGCGTTTGTTTTACCTCAACTTGAATATTTTAGAAGCTAACTAGATTGAGTACGCAACCGTGACTTTCACGGGACTTAGGGAGTGCCTAACACCTTCTCCCCGAGTCAAATGAATCCCCTTACCCGAATCTCTGGTGCAGACTTAGTTTTGGAGTCTAAAGTATTTTAAAAGGAAAAAGTATTTTAGAAAAACGGTGACCTGACACACCGAAACCAATGTCAGGTGGCGACTCTGAAATATCTTTTGAAACACAATCCTTTGTCACTTTCATAATTGAAAACCCTTTTGAACTTTACAAATCTTTTTATTTAGAGGTATTTAAAAAAGGGGGTGTGACATCTCTGGCGACTCTGCTGGGGACACTTGCGGGTTCGAGCTAGTACTTGATTTTGTTGTCTTTTAGAATATTTGGTTGAGGTTTTTATGCTTTTTCATTAGCTTTACTTAATTTTTATTATGTTTTTATATCTTGTTATTTGCTAGTTGTTTATGTGTTTACAATTTTTGCTTTATGTGTTTACTGCTTTATAACTGTCATCATATGCATTACCCAGTCAATTCTTTCTGCAACAAGTCTCGGAGCACGCATCGCGTGCACGGACTCTTTGTTGAGTCACCCTTGATTTAGGAGGGGGGCCGTCGGACGTATGGAGTGGGTGGAAAGCTTGAGCAGCCACCATCGACCATATGCTCCCCCGAATTGCCTTGTTAGTGCACCCCAAACTTAGGTCAGCCTTTAGCTCATTTTTATTTGCATCATGTCATTTAAACCTAGTAGGGCTCGGTCTCAGGTACCATATCCCTTTGTAGGAAGCTTGTCCAAATTTTGTCAAAATGGGCTCGTGGCCCAAAATGACATTTAATCATTCTATGTGCTAAATGTTGCATCTGTGAGGGTAAAAAGGTCATTGGCGGACCGATGCTTGGGAAAGAAGGGTGAAAATGAAGAAAGTAGGGCCCACTCACATTTTTTTCATAGTTTTCCAAAAATCAAAATAAAAATGAAAAATCCAAAAAAGATTTTACACTTTTCCATTATTTTCCAAAAAAAAAATTGAAAATAGAAAATCCAAAAAGATTTAACATTTTCCATCATTTTCCAAAAATTCAAAAAAAGAAAATCCAAAAAGATTTTACATTTTCCATCATTTTCCCAAAAATTCAAAAAGGGAGAAAAAAAAAATCCAAAAAAAAAAATATTTTTCAATTTTCATCAAAAATACAAAAAAAAAAATGGTTTTTCCAAATTAGTTGCATTTTTTTAAAGGCTTCCTCCTATGTTTAATCTTTCCGAACTACGCGAACCTGATTCTCGTCTTCTGGGGAGGGATACATAGGCAACCCACATAGGGTTTGGTCTTCCTAGTAGGTCCTAGGTTCTTGGCTTCCGGGGTCGTAGCCAAATCTTGCATGTATAGCCATATTTGGCCACATTGGCCGTTTTTTTGCAAAAATAGAAGTGTTTTCTCAAAGTAGTTTGTTATCTCTTGTCTTAGGATCTTGAGTCTACAATAAAGTGTCCTCTTAATTCTAAGATTCATTCCTGACAAATTTGCATGTCTAGCCACTTTGGCCACATCGGCCATTCTTGCAAAATAGGGTTATTTGCACAAGAGTGTCTCAATTACCCATGTCTTAGGATCTTGAGTTTATAACTCGGTTTCATATAACTTTAAGGTTCATCCATGTCGTGTTTGCGTCCCTAGCCACATTTGGCCACATCAGCCATTTTTGCAAAAAAAGGGTCCATTTCCGCAAAGTAGTTTTTAAGACCATGATTGTCGGGATATTAGAGTCATGTAAGATTTAAATGGAGTATTTCTCATGCATTAGGGGTCAACTTTGTCAAGTTTGCGCTAATAGCCACTTTCAGCCACTTAGGCCATTTTGCAAATATAGCCAAGTTGTGTCCTGCATTTGTCCACTAGGAAATGTGGTGGGGTCGTGTAGTGTCTCGAATCGCTAACCATGTTTGCTTCATTCAGGTATGGACCCGCTGATTCGATCCAAAATATTGATGGTAGTAAAGATTCCTAGGAAGTTGATCAAGTGGTGGAAAATGTTTTCATCGTTAGAGCAGCATGAGTTAATGTAGAAATTGGGCACCCTAACTTCCCTTCTTGATATCACACCCCGCCCAGACTTAGTGGAGGCGATGCTGACTTATTGGGATCCGCAAAATTTGATTTTCAGATTTGGAGAGTGTGAGATGACTCTTACCTTGGCGGAAATGTCTGGTCTCACTCGTTTAAGCTATATAGGCAAGGACATGAAACTTCCCCGAGACCACTCTAGGACAAGATTCCTCAGCGACCTCGGCCTGAAAGATAATAAGCATTTAAAATGTCTCAAGCTGTCCTTGATATCCTTGGTTTATTTGTTTGCTAGATTTGGACCATAGGATAGTTTTGACGTCTTTTGGGATGAGTTCTGCACAACCAAGGCAAAGTGGCAAAGACGTTACCTCGAAGCTTTCAGCCTTGCTTTGTTGGGATTATTGTTTTTTCCATTAGATGAGAGGTACATTAACACCCGTCTGCAGTCAGTGGTAATGGCACTATTTCATGAGAAGCAACGCAAAATCGTTACCGTTGTGTCGATGATCTTAGCAGAGTTGTACCGAGCCCTGAGTGAGGTTAGGGAGGTGTCAGATATTTTGAGGGAAGTAACCTTTTGCTATAATTGTGGATGATGGAGCATTTGCACACCGCTTCCTTACTTTGTCCCATCGACCGTGCCTTGAGGGTTCGGGTGGTATGCATCGAACGTAGGATGAAATCTCCTAAGTTTACGTACCCAGTAGGCATCACGGCTTGGATTGGGTTCCTTGGTTTGAGGACAAATGGGAATGTTTTGTGGGCTTACATTTGGCTACCTTTGGATGATATCTTGGTAGGGTACCACATGCAGCCTTTCCTGATGCTGATAGGTCTCAAGTGTGTTAGGCCGTACACTCTCATTAGGGTAATGCTGCAATTGGGCAGAAGACAAGAAGAGCCTCCAACTTTGAATCTTCGGAGGCACATCATAAATTTTAGCTAAAAGGCGGCTGATGAAATCAAGTATGTGCAATACTGGAACAATGCAAAGAGGATGAAGAAAAATACATTAGTAGAGGACGTTGGCAGGCCCGAGTGTACTCAAGAGTACTTGATTTGGTTACAGTCCATCCCGCCAGGGATCAGCAGCCCATTGCCAGCACAACTTAGGGGTCGGGCAGTTCAGACAGATGATTTTGAGGAGGCATCGGACCAAGATCCCTGGGATAAGCTTGAGTTGATAAAGTCTCAATTAGCGGGATTGGCAGCAAACGTGGAGCAGCATGGCTAGTATTTGTTTAGGGTTAGCCTTCAGGATGCGGAGGCACACGCCAGGGCCTTTATTCCGAGCATCGGTGTTTCTTTACGAGGCATGTTACAGAGTTTGAGCATGACGGACAACCCAGGATCATCCTAGCCAGGACCATCGCATTCAGGAGCAGTTTGAGGAGTCATTCTATTTAGGTGTTTTGAGATTGTTGTATGTTGTCTTTTACTTTCGTGTCTTGTCTAGAAGTACTGAGTCCTTTAGGTAGTGTCAAAGTCTATCGTAGTGTAGTTGAGTCTGTCAGGTCTTTTATTATCGCACTTCCCATTGTATTTTAATATCGAAAAGTTTTTAAATGAAAAATCCCAAAAAGATTTTGTTTTTAATTTATTTTCTATCGCTTTTCCAGAACTACGCTTGGTCTATATGTATTCAACCTACACCGGGTTCGATCAAATCATTTTTGGTTCAAAATAAAAAGAGAAAGAAAAAGAAAAGGGTGATAAGCAGTGTTGGAAAAGAAAGAGAAGGAAGGATTGAAATGAGCAAATCAGAATGATGCCATATGAACCTGTGACCCTCAAAGCCATTTTAGAACCATTAATTGTTGCTAGGTGCATTGCACGTAATGTGATATTATTATTTGATGAATGACCTAACGCTAACTTGGTGGTTTTATGTTGTTATCCTCTATTATCTTTATTGAGTTTCAGGAAGGTGGTTAGTTTGTTGGCATCCTGGCAAGTCATCCATACAACACCCGATCAAAGCATCAAACAGTCATGGCTAGCAAGGAAACAGACACTGGAGTTGTAGACCCACTAAGGGAGATTGTTGAGTCGGAATCAGAATTGCAAAAGGAGGTCCGGAGGTTGAAGCACCAGATGGCGGAAATGTATCAAGCCTAGATTAAGGGACACCATCCACCCTCGTTCCCTACCAACTACACAAAAAACCCTATTTCCATTCCATCACTCTCTCAATCCCAGATGCCCAATACTATTGATCTTTCCCCACAACACACACCTGGCTTTACCCCTTACCACAACTACCCCGGCACTTCAGCCCAAACTGTTCATGCTCCGC